GGACGTGAACGGTCTATCCCACGGACTCGGAGCGCCCCGGAGGAAGTGCCGCTGGGTCCATTTCTCTACCTTTTCTGGGTTCAAAAAGCAAGGCTCTCTATGTCTCTCTACTGTTCCGCCGTTCGGCTCGTGTTTTTTGTGGACATTTGCCGCAGATCCGTCGATCCGACAGATCCAACACAAGGATTCGGAAGGATTCGGAGGTTTGGGTTACATCCATCAGCAAAAGAAGACAATTGATGGGATATGATGTTTCTTTGCCCAATGGTCTTTGGTTACTTTGGTGATTTACCAGAACCAGCTCTGCAAGCCGTGCCGAATCCTAGGGGCCGTGCAAGCCGTGCTTCTCTTGTGCGGCAGGACCTGCAAGATCGCCGCTGGTCGAGAGACTGGGAAGTCGGACACCGGACCTCGAAGGATCGATGGAGGAAGGCTCAGGAACCGGGAGGGTTGACATATCATAACAAGTCGAGTGAGAAAAATCAGCTTCTTCATGTGTATGACTTGATAATTCAACCCTCCCAGACATGGATGGTAAAAGCTCTTCAGGCCTTGGGGGTGAAACATGTTGAAATATCAATAGTCTAGTCAATAGTCTATCATTATATAGTTGTGCCCAGAATGTACAGACGATCGAATCAAGTAGGTGCACAAGTTTGCCGAATGCGATCCGCAACAACTTGGCATTTGAATTTGGTCCCTGTGTGGTCTCTCAAAAGACCAGTTCAATAAGGGTGTTATGCTCTTGCAGATGCGACAGATGTGGGCCATAGACAGCCGTTCGACCTCAAAAGAAGCGAAATAGACCACGACCCATTGGGTCAGGGGGTCTCCCTTTGAGGTCTCCCTATTTGACAACACGCTGGTACACATGCTTCGCACACTTGTGATGGATTCTAAAGACTCCGCTTTAGTAGAGCTTCGATATACGGGCCTGGAGATCTCATTAAAAGTACACACCCATGTGCCTCCAGTTCTGCTGGAGCTTCATATTCACGCCATCCAGGTCGCCCACCACTGCAAAGAGACGACAGCTGTTCTTGGTATTTTTGAGACTCCAACCTAGCGCTGCTAGCACCGCCCAAAAGGGTGGTTTGTAGATCTCGCTTGCTGACCAGCCTGACCATTGTTTTGCATGCAACAACCATCCAAACTGGGTGGTGCTGGAATGATGTTGATTCCTTTGAAACCATCCAACAATTCATGGCTCCTTGATCTATCATTTCTCTCATCTTCACCATCTGAGGCTTGGAGGAGCTCCGAGAAGCCGAGGAAGCGCAGGACGAGGTCTCCCTGGAGGGAACGCCGGAACCCCCGCGGCGGGGCGCGGGTGTGGCGGGTGTGGCGGATGTGGCGGATGGAAGAAGTGTGGCAAAAGCAGGATCTTTGGATATCTTGGGCAGTCAAGCAAAGAGTTCTATAGGATGTTCATGCATGTTCTAGGTCTAGGTCCTGTAGCCCTTGCATCGCACTCTGGTTGACAGCATGGATCCATGTGCATAGCCCCAAACGTGCCCAACACAAACGAAAGCAACGGATGTACAGCAAGAGATGTCCAGCAACAATGTGCGAGATGGCGTGCGATAGCGCACAGGCGCGCCACGCCATGCCTCAAGCAAGCCAGGGAGCCACAGCAAGAAAATCAACTCAATCTAGCAAGTCGACATTCAACACTCACACGAATCAACTACATGCGGCAATCCTGAGTGGCTGACGGAGCTTGAACTTAGCTCCCAAAATGCTTTGATTGAACAAACTCACTCAGCTTGCCCTCCACCGACGACATCAAAATGGCAAATCTCTGCGTGGCCCTCAGTTCCCACACTTCAAAGGGAAAACCTTCCACACATCCTGCAGCGACCCGCGGTACCTTCAGACCAGACCGGTCGTAGAGAAAAATGTGGAATTGGAAGTTGGTGGGACGGAGAGCACCATTGGTATTTTTGCTATATGATTTGGGGACTGGTAACAATAGTGCTGAGCCAAGGAAGACGGACATGAGCCAAATCGCTGCTGAGTTGTTCCCGCATTCTTTGAGCAAAGACCATGCCCCCAAAACACATCCGAAAATCCACCTTTCTAAGCCTCGAAACATTTAAAGATAGTTTACGTTGTTTTCTCTCAGGAACGATCCACGTGTGAAACGAGTTCTAGATCCATCTTTGAGGTTTTACTGGGTCACCAGTGCCTACTCCTAGCTGATTCGTTGCTTGTCCGACCGCATGGCAGGACGAGGAACGCCCTTCGAAGAAGCGACGGTCGGTGACGCCCGCAGGTCAGAGCAGCGGTCGCCACAGCGGCAGTCGGGAAAGAGAATGAATACCCCCAGACCATCCATGGGACTGGAATAGTTCCATACATTTACCACATGAAAATGACCCCAAGTACAGTATAGTATAACTATTCCATACATGGATGGTCTGGGACCAACAGGGTTGTTCGGCAGAAACAAGTTTCGTTGTCAAAGGGTCTCTCTCAGCCTGAATGCACTGGAATACACACGAATACGCCACATCCGGATAAATCCTTTCCCTATAGAATCCTCCCAGAGACCTTGTGAATTTGCGCTTGAGTTGGTGCCCTTACAAAGCGGGTGAGCATTGACCGTCGAACACCTGCCTGTGAATTCCACTTGGACAGGTGGACCTGCATAATCCTCAAAGAGTCAATTTGTTACTGATTGAACCTTGGACAACCTTTCTTGTTTGAGGAACTTCCACTTCTTGGAAGGTGATATCAATACCCGTTTTGTTTCATCAAAAACCACACAGCAAGAGGTTCTTGAAACTGGCACCTCTTTGGCCCTTGTAGCGCATTATGCTTAACCCACCAAAGCACTAGTTGAATCATCAACATGCACTGCCTGCAATTGCCTTCATCATCCATTCAGCTGCACCTCTTGAAGAGGCGAGGACAGGAAGGGCTTTCCGCCTGCCTTTTTGGGTTTTCCGCCCGGCCGACCGCTCCGGCTTTTCGCCGCGGCCGGCCCTTGTCCAGGCGACGGTCTCGAAGTGGTCACAAGCGAGGAGAGGAAGCGCTGAAGCGCGGGAAGGTGTGATGATGGAAAGGTCGTGGGGCAATGGCCCGGTTGAAAGAAGAGGTCATCTCAGATGGCCGTTTACTATTGGTTGGATGATTCATAGAGGGGATACCAATAGGTGTATGGTACCAAATAGGTTTATAGGTAGAAGATACCAAATAGGTATAGGAATAGGTTATCAAATTGACTAATAGGTATATGACACCAAATCGACCCCTCTATTCCCAAAAGGACATCACTGGATCATATCCAAAGATCTAGTGACAGGACCAAGCTGTGGACATGACTAAGAAGGGCATGTAACATCGGACATTCATTTGTTTATGGAGCTGTGAATCTCCGATATCCGAAGGATCATGGTCCTTTGGTGAACCATCCTTCAGAAGGAACGAAGCACGTACTTGTAAACCACACCTATGCCTCTGGTGAAGAGAAACTTCTTACCATCCTTACCCATTCTTTCGTGCATCCCACGAAGCCTTCGGTGGTGCTTTCAGTCAAGACCCGTCATCAGATACTCAAGTGGTGCCTATAGAGGTATATCCTCCAGACTCCCCAGATTTCATAGATACCATCCCCCCCAAAAAAGGATGAGTTGATAAACTGACTTGTGAATGGTGTCTATTCCGTCGGACTCCCCAGTTCCAGCGCTTCGGACGCAACCCTTCTCCGCTCCGCCGCACAGGACGCGACGTGCTGACCGCTCCTTCGCCCGCTCGCGGTCGGTCGAAAAGACGGATTGCGTCCGCTCCGCCGCCCCGACCGTTATGGAGGCAACACATCCACAATGGAGGCAACCCCGAGGTTTATGCCATGTACTGAGAAAAAGGGTTATGATATGATCACTCTGGCTTTGTAGCCAAGTCCAATGTGTTTGTGAGGATTCCTCTTAGATCCTTGGTAAGAGCAGTTTCAAACCACCACGTGGCAAGAGCAGTCACAGACCACGAATACCGTATTGTATCATAGTCATTGCTCACTGCTCACTCTGAATTAACCTGCTGGATACTGGTTTTAAAACAGAGACGGCAGAATTTGTGGCCTGGCACTCACATTTAGTGATCAACAACACAACACCATAGCAATCCATAGTATGTATACATATATCGAGAGAGAGAGAGGGAAAAAAAAGTAGGGTAAGGGCCCGTCCAAAGTGGACTCATTCGCTGCCACCAAAATCGATCCAAGCATTGCAAAGACACCGCTTTAAGAAACATGGTTGGCTTTCAACACATGTAATCCCGAAGCCCTATGACATCCTATGGCATCCAACTGTCTCCCCGAAAAAATGTAATCTCTAAGGGGAACTGTTTCGTGGAAGTCTTGGGTTCCGGAGAACTGCTTTTGAGATCTTTTGAGAAGGCTCCAGTCAAATAACAGTTGCAAAAGTATGAGAATAGAAAAAGCCGCCAAATTGAAGGGCGTCCCTTTCTCTTTACAAAAGGTATGACCTACTGTATGTATTGATTATTCTTTGTTTCCCATCAAGTGATCATGTGTCTTCGGAGTTTGACAGGGTGAACTCGAGAAAACCAATGTATTGATCACGCTGTGGCTTTCCTCGGTTACACAATAAGTTTTCACTTCAGAGAGTTTCGTGATACGTCACGTCGCCAACACGTCTGCGTTGTAAACGCCTATAGACCAGCGAGGTAAGCTTGGACTCTTTGGAGCTGGGTTTCTATGGGGTAGGGAATTTCCTGGGTATTCATGTGATAGTCATTTCCGAAACATCCGGATCTTCAGGCTATAGGATGGTGTAGGTGGTGGTTTTGGACATCTCTTTTTTGAATGGTTCACGGACCCGCAGGCTACCGGCTGGTACCGCACAGCTGCTTGAAGCGTTAACAAAAACAGATGTTCACGAATCAACCAACCTTTCCTTGGGAAGAGGTGTCTTTTTCCACCGACTCAACTGGACAAGTCGATCTCTCAGCGAGTTCGCGACGCCATCGGTCAGGTGCTCCGGGCCGGCGCCTGAATCCGGCCGCCGCGGCCGGGAGGGCGAGTGGGCGAGGGGAGGTCTAGCTGGGATGTAGACAACAAGCAGACAACAAGCAGACTATTCAACCATGTCATATTATATACAGTCTATATATGTCATTATATGTATATATATATATAAATATGTCTGACATACATTTCAAGTTCATCTAGATTCTACATGTATACGTATATAAGGTCCACTTTCCCAGATTCATAAACCCCCAAGACCCATCGTTTCATCAGCTCCTCAGTCCAAAGGAGGACGCATCATGACCGGTTTGTTTCGGACCCGTGACGACCACGGTCGGTCGGACCCGCCGAAGCGCCAGTCGTTGGCCTTTGTGAAGTCGTTGAACTCCGCGGTGGACCCTCGGACCAACGAGCCCGAAGGCCTCGGTGTTTCGCCGACTCCGGACGAGCGAGGCCGAGGATGTGAGGAGGAGGTTCTTCGTTTTCTGCGTGGAGGATCACATGGGTGAAATGCGGGAGCCAGGACTCAGGTCATTAGGGGGAAACATTTCGTGGACACTGCTGGTGCAGGGGACTTTGAATGAAGCCATGGGATGATGTGGATTTTGCTGTTGGTGGCGAGTTGTGCTGTTTCCGCCCTTCCAGCGATTTTCCAGGCTGCAAGGTTGTGATGGAAATCTGCCAGCCACCTGCCAATTTCAACATGCAGACAGCGTCAGGGGAGCTCAGTGCGGGGCTCTTGATGGCTACGACGGCGGGGCTCCACAGTCGAAAAGCCCGGAACTCCCCTTTTGGGACCGGTCGGAACATTGGTTCGCCTGTCCCAGTGGAGGAGAAATGACCAGACTGGTTTTGCTGGCCATTTCTCCTCCAGAGGAGCCATATGGAGCCATTGCCATTGCCAAATCTCTGAAAGAAACAGGAATCCGTCAGGTTTCGAAGGTCACCCAGCAGCGGAAGAAGGCTTCTTCGAGCATCCTGTGCATCCGTCCGCGTTGGTCCAGACAGATCTTTGAAACCCTCCGGCCGTGTTGCAGGCCCTGGCCGGCCCTGGCTGTTCTTTTTGAAGATGGACTGTATATGGCTGTAGAGTCCTTTGCACTGGAATGGAACATAGATGTGCTTAACCCCACAATTCAAGATCTTCCACCGTGTTCCCGTGATTTCTCTCTCCAGCCATTTGGCTCAGCACAACTGGTTGGACTTGAGACATTTGCACGTCCGAGGTGTGTCTGCAGCGGCAATTGGGACTATGCCGCTGGGCCTTGCAGCAAGTCATAAGTAGTCATGACGCATCACGAAGACTACACACCTTCTTGATCGTCCTTCGGTGTATTCTTAGACCCTTAGCTGGCTTTAGCCCCTTTGGTTTACGCGGAAGGGATATGCGAAGGACTGTGTAGATCCAACACCAATATGAAGATGTACTGCTTCCCTTTTCCAAGACCTTTCCCGCGGCCATCGTGCCTTACCTACCAGTCAGATCCATTCGAAGTCCAATCCGCCCGTTTTCCGCAGATCTCTTCTCGAACGGAAAACGATCGAATGCGAAACGCACCGATTCCACCGTGTGCATCACCGAGCCGCTTTCCCCGGTCACGCGCCCTCTTTTTAACACGTCACGAGCCTGAGGCACCCATTGGCACCAGCACTCCGGCCCCTGCCACGGGCCTTCCGGGCGACGCCGAGCCCACGGCGAGTCCGGCTGCCCCCGCGCCCACGAACCAGCCGGCGGTGCTGCCGAACTTCGAGGGCACCACGGCAGAGCCGGTGAACCCCTATGTTCGGGTGCTGAGAATGGGCGGCGTGTGGCTGGACACTGGAGAATGATGACCTTGGTTGAAGATGTTGAATGAGCGGCGACTCAAGATGGTTGAGATGAAAGTGTCATCCTGTGGGGGTTAGAGAGTGCTTCTACCATAGAGCAAAGCTCCTGACTCGAAAGATTTGCGAGCACGCAATGCGCATGTGAAACATCTTGATTCAAGATAGTTTCACATGGGCTTTGATGGCCATTGGTTGTACTACTCCGTCATGGCACGTCGCAGCACCTCGCAGCGGTCGCTGCATTTCGCTGCACTCGTGAGGCCGGAACAGCCACCGTCCGGGTCCCCCTCGAGCGGTGGACACCGCGGCGATCACACCGCGGCTGCGTTGGTGAAAGGGGCGAGTTTCTTTTGGGGGTCAACGGTGTTGAAGACAGGTGAATCTCCTTAGATCGTCAGTGCAACTGGATTATTCCAGCAGGTTGGACACTCACTTGGGTCTTAAGACCACCCTGAGATGGAACGTTTGCTTGAGAGTTTTTTTGGGCAACCAACTTACGTAGATGGAACTTTCAGAATCTTTCAGATTGAAATCAATTTGCACATCACTGCACATCCACTTGCAACCCCTGCCCCCTGGAAAGTGACCTCCCTGGTTTTAACATTTTACTCGACCTCTGAGGTGGTCACTGTGCAGCCGCAGGCTGGGGATGGTGCTGGAAAGAGGAGGGGTAGCCCATCCAAACGCCCGAAATTACTGGGAAAGGGAACCTAGAGTCAGTGACATTGACATAGACCCTGAACCTCCAACTAGATCCATTTCGAAGCTGTTTGGAGTGGGCTTGACAGGCCAACCTTTTCAAGTGCCATGAAGGAACCCTCCAACTAGTCGTCGAAGATGTCCTTCTTTGTGTATATAATTGTATAAAATTGTATGCATATACATATAATATAATATAACATAATGCGAATGGAAGTGCAGCGACACGTACAGTGCAACTTGTACATATATATGTACCATATGTACTTTGGCTCAAGGATCAAGCGACTAGAAAAGGTGCGGTTTCCGTTCCGACGCTACGCCGCTTATGGACCGTCAGTGATAGCTTCAAACTTCGCTGATTAAGATCCACTCGCAGGTTATCAGCCGTACGCGCTCTTTATAGCCGTACGAGCTACACGAGACCAAGAACAAGACTAGTCATTACAGAAACCTGCAATGTCAAGCTCAGGAGGAAATGGAAGCGAACCCTATTCATTCGCTGCTCCTGGTGGTCCCAACACCATTTCGTCACCAGACTCTATAATGGGTACTGATTCATCAGCAAATGCTGACGTTATCACTATGCCTACTGGATCACAAATCTCGGAAAGATCCGTGCCACCGGCTCGGAATCTGACCGATCTTGCACCCGTAGGACCAAGAAGATCGATGAGAGCTACAACAAGATCTACATCGCCTATAACGTCTACCGCGAGATCCCCAAGAAGGAGTATAGAGAAGAGACGTGACGATGATAGAGGAACAAAAGAGCAAAGAAGAGAGATTCAGCTGGGTGAAGAATTGAGATCGGCGAGAAACGCATACAATTTTCTTCATGAAGAATATGAATGCATCCAAGCCGGATACTCACGACTACACCACGAGGCTGAAGTGGAGTTCAGGCAAATGTCTGACTACAACAGGAAGATGCAGGAACATCTACAAAAGATGACACAGGAAGATGAAGGAGCGACAATAAGAATTGAAGAGCTCGAACACAAGCTACGCTTGGCGGAATCGACAGCTGAACATATCTACATGAAATATCAAGAGCTTGCACAAGAAACTCATCAAGAACATTCAGAGCTTGAATCTGTGAAAGCAACGAAGGACAGAATGTCCCAAGAGCTTCAAGCAGCAATTGGACACATCCAAGAACAGAATGAATTTTCATTGGCGATCATTAGAAGATCAAAAGCCATTCAGGATGAGAACACAGCCTTCGTCGGAATAGCTGACCAGATACAAGCTAGAATGATTGCGCTACAGGATGAGAATGTCAACATGCACGAGGTGATCCAACACCAGAGAGAAGAACAATGGAACAGTGAGGTCAGGGAAAGACGTCTTCAACACAGTGTTCACTCATCTCAAGATCAGAGCAATCAGGAAGCTATGGTTATTGATCATCTACGAGGTCAACTAGCTATGGCACGTGGAGCTGAACTCAACGCGAGAGCGGAGATAGGAGAGATGGAAGTGGGCATGAGGATGGAGATGTTTGTATGCCAGACTGAAGTCTCTGCTAAAGGAATGGCAGAAATGAAGGCGAGCCACCATGAATACGAAGCAAACGTCGCAAAGGAGGTTATTGCAAAAGGAGAAATATTCAACAACGAAGTCCTAGAAGGTTCCATCCGTGAACGACAACAGTTGAAAGACGCCAACCTCGCTCTATCCGAAGCCAACGCACAGTTGAAAAGAGAGAATATGATGAGAGCTCCTATGTTCGGCGATGATGGTGCTGAAATTCAACAGAAGATCAGAGAACTGGAGAATGCACTATTGGAAAGCCAGAAGGAGACAAAGAATGTCATTATGGAAAATGCGAAATTAAAAGCAGAAGCACGAATGGCGCCCATAGTCTCTCGGTACAGCAAGCGTCCTAGTTCCAGAGACCGCGGGTTACCAACCCACGCGTCCGAGGAAGATGAGATTCGGAACGCAAAAGAGGAGGCGAAGCACTACAAGGACGGGTACAATGAGATGACAGAGAGCCGAGATGAGATGTATCAATGGTATGCCGAAACCCACAATGAGTACGCCGAGGAAAGGGAGAAATCAATTGAGCTATCCGAGGCGAACAAATCATTGAGGGACAAGATTTCAGAAGCAGAAGCATCCTCTTCATCTCATCTTGCACCGGCAACCTCTACAATCATGAAAGTATCGAGGAAGGAAGAATCAAAGATAAACGTTCCGTCATGGCCCAGGATCAATGATCTTGGACTATGGAAGGCAAATCTCATTCAATCGATCATCATTGCGGCCAATGATTCAGATCAAGAGCCCTGGATCAACTGGATCAAAGAAGCCATGGACGATCCTGATCCGGACAAGTTTGTCGACTCAGGAGACCAAAGATTCCATTCAATCGATGCCAAACTCGGCCTAGCTCTTACCAAGGTCGTCATGGATGCGAAAGATGATGGTTCAGGTGTAGCTATGAAGTTGAGGACGAGGATCAATGCAAAAGGGAGAACATCAAGCCTCATAAAGGGAAGAGAGGTCCTAGCCCTGATCCTTATGAATTTCAAGACAACATCAAATGTGGAAGTCTTATATACTTCAATGCACCTCTACCAACTAGAATATCAGGGAGACAAGAACTTATCGTTGTTCTTCCACACTTGGGATGAGATTCTGGCAGGAATGAAGCCCGTTGACGTCCCGAGCGACGAAACTCTTCGGGATCTCCTATGGAGAAAGATCAGGAACTCAAACCTCATGGCATACGACATCAGCGCCTACAACAGCATGAACGACGATGATGCCAAGAAGACATACAAACATCTACGTGATATGATCAGAAGGCACATCGAACGGCAAACTGAAGACAGGATGATCCTGGAAAAGGAGAAGGCAGTGAAGAATGTGGCCAATATCTTTCAGAATCTCAAACCAGGCGGACCTGCTCCAAAACTGAAAGCTGCACCAGCTGATCCGAAGAAGAAACCAAAAGGGCAACAAGAACAGGTTGTCTCAGAAGACGCTGCTGCAGTGAAGCCGAAACCCAATCCCAAGAAGCATCCTGAAGACAAGAACAAAAAGGGAAAGGGGAAAGGTAAAGGTGATGGAAAGGATCGCAGCCGAAGTCCGAGTACAGACAAGAAGAAGATACCATGCAAATACTTCGTGAAAGGTAACTGCACTATGGGGAAAGATTGCCCATTCAGTCACAAGAAACCCAGATCACCATCCAGAGGATCTTCTGTCGGAAAGAATGACAAGCCAGTATGTTGGATGTGGATTCGAGGAACTTGTGACAAAGGGAAGGATTGCAAGTTCTACCATGACCCAAAAGCCTCTCCTAAGAAAGGGATATCTGCACCAGCTGACTCAGGAGACGATAGGCCAAAGCCCAAGGCAAAACCCAAACCGAAGCCTAAGGCGAAGCCTGGAGCCCCAGCCATTGACGGTGAACTCTTCATGGACGAATCCGAAGATGAAGGGATTGCTGCATCCGCCAAGGCAAGAGAAGGAGGTGCAAAAGTATCCTTTGATGAAGAGACTTGTGAGATCATGTTGAACGAAGCGATCTACTCAGTCAGGAACAAATGGAAGGTAGTAGAAAGGAAACCTCTACGTCCAGACATCAAACGATACGATGAGAAAGAGCTCACCTGCTACACGAGGAAAGAACAAATCAGATTTGAAGAAAAGGTCGCAGAGGCAAGAGGCATATTGATGGTCCCCTACACTGAGATCAAGAGGGTCCGAATACCAGTTGGACCAAAGGGTGACCTAGCGGTCACTATGTCTTTTGACGAAGATGACGGCCTAGTTTTCCATCATAAAGTCATTCCTCATGTATGCGAGGGAAAGAAAGATCATGCAGACACAAAGACATTGTCTATTCCAGCCAAAGGGTCAAGAACAAAGTTCATCATGGACACAGGATGTGGGTATGATTTGATATCGAAAGGCAGAGCCAAGAAATTAGGTCTGGAAGTGAGAGAAAGCGACCAATCAATGTCATTCTATACTGCAAATGGAGTGACATCCACAAAAGGAGTCGCCGACATTCATTTCGACGAATTTGACTCTACCTACTCCCCATTCGTCCTAGATGAGTCTCCTTCAGTACTGTCTGTTGGAAAGAAATGCATGGAGGAAGGTTACACATTCATATGGCCAGCCTGCGGCAACCCGTACATGGTTTCCCCGAACTACAAGAAAATCATGTTAGAAGTAGAGGGAAACATCCCATATATTGTCAAGGGCAGTGACTTCTGTAACCCCACCGACGATGTAAGGGCGGAGATGATCGCAAGGTTCACCCTAGGAGAAGGTGAAGCTGATTACCAATCGGCTTTCACCAACTGTGATGTGGATCCTCAAGGAATCATGTGTGATGATGACGACCTTCCTGTGATTGAGCCTCCAAAAGTCAAAAGGCGAAAGAGGAATAAGAAGTTCAAGGCATCTCCTGGAGAAGAAGATGAGGTAGGATCAGATGTCGCCGGAGACAGTGAACCAGAAGCTGACGATGATGATGCAGATGACATCGAGGTGGATGTTGTTGACGGTGCAAGTAGAATGGTGAGAAGAGGAACTCTGAAAGCAGATGCCAGGAAAATCGAGCATCTACTCACACATCGTTACAAGAATCCCTACTGTGAGTCATGCATCAGAGCAAAGATGAAACACTTCAAGACGCATCGAGGAGCGTTCAAGAGAAAGCTCAAAGCTTTTGGAGATCTGGTTACCTTTGATTTTGTCGATACGAGGAACATCCTTGATCAAGGGATCAGTACTGATCGAGAGATCTTCGTCATTCGTGACAGGTACACAGGCGTCATATGGGCCTATCCGTCGAAAGAGAGGTTTACCAAGGACGTGGTCAATGCAATAAACCACTTCAAAGGATTGAAGAAGATCAAGATTGCTTATGCCGACAAAGCCCCAGAGTTTGAGACGGCTATGAAGCAGCTGAAGAT